AACAGAAAGGTTAAGGGGGTGAGGTGGGGAACGGTACAATCACAGATTTGCATATGTCCTGTTATCATACTCAGCCTTCCTGTCTGGAGTGCTGTGCAATGAGTGCTGCACTTCAGGATGGCTATACTGCATGGTGATGGGGGTTGAGTGCAGTGGGTAAGGGTCGTATTTTTCAGGACTGGGTAGTGAAGCAACAGGTGTTGGAGGCAGTTGGTGGCGATAAGAACCCGGATGTTGGGGAAAGTGGGTTGGAGGTGACATGGGGGCACAAGGGAAAGAGTTTTGGGACAAGGGCTGCAACGGGGGCGGGGGCGGTAGTGCTCCGCCTGCATAGCTACGAGCGCCTGGATCGAGTCTGCTTGGCGCTCCGTGATGTTTATCAGCCAATCTGTGCTTTGCTGCCGGAGCGCCACACTTTTGTGTCGGCGATCCGCATTCTGCTGGCGGATCCTTCTTTCACTCTCCCTACACTCCTGCGCTTTTAGATTCTCGTTAAGTGACTGCTACATTACTTCATACAGCAAGTCTTTGCTTCTACATGGTCTCTTCTTGATTCTTTTCAGGCTCTCGGCCGATGATAACATGGACGGCTGAGCTCTCAAGGTTGCATCCGTAAAGGCAAAATGCAACATTTAACAGAAGCAGCATTGTTCACACCAGACAGAGCAATGATTCCGCCGTACTTAAGGAGGGCAAGCACAGTCTACACAATAGCATAATTTGTCCACCCCAAAGCGAGTGCACATAACCCATGGGAACCCCAAAATGGTGAGTAAGCACAGGGTCAAGGGGGTCTGATTGTTTCATGGCTGTACTGTCCTCTGGGTTTCTGTGCCTTGGGGAGAGCCAACAGCTGCAGGGGGCCCCTATGCTGAACACTGTCCCCACATTTTCCACAGGAGTTCGTCCTGGACGATATATTGCTGCTTAGGGTGACCTGGGAAGCAAGGGAGGGTCTTCTACTACAATGCGGCTTCCGCCCTGGCAGTTTGCCTGTGTGCAGCAATGGTCCCCTCGCCCCTCATGGCACAGTGGCGCGGACATGTTAGCCTGATTGGGACAAGGACCACAGTGGCTCTCCCAAGCCTGTGCAAGCGCATTGCCCAAGTTCTGGCTGAGACCTTTGAAGAGATCACTGAGGCCAATTACCGCGATGTGAGGGAGCACATCAACGCCCTATTCCGCATCTAGGCATGCATGCAGCCCTAACTCTCCTCACCCCAAGAGCCCACACTGAATAACTTCCTTCCCAAAATAAAAGCCGCTTACCGGGAACCTCCTCTGGTGTTTGTCTTTCCCCAAGCACCAGCCGCCGCGACTGGCTACCTTCCTCCTGGCTTGAGAGCAGCTCCTGGCTGCATGCATCTAGGGATTCCGGGGTGTATTCCTCCGCCTCAGCACCCTCATTCCCGCTTTGCTCCTCCTCCTGCCTTGTTGAAATGGGCTCTGAAGTGTCCATGGTGGTCCCTGGAGCGGAGGTGGGGTCGCCCCCAAATATCGTGTCCAGCTCTTTGTAGAAATGGCAGGTTGCAAGGGCAGCACCTGAGCGGCGGTTTGCCTCGCGGGCTTTGCGGTAGGCATTCCACAGCTCCTTTAACCCTGCACTGCAGTGCTTCCCGGTCATGGCCCCTTTCCATCATGTCCCTTGATATCTGCCTGAAGGTATCATAATTCCTATGGCTGGAGCGCACCTGGGACTGGACAGCTTCCTCCCCCGAAACACTGATAAAATCCAGCACCTTGCCATTGCTCCATACTGGGGATTGCTGGCGCCTGGAGGCATGATCACCTGGAAAGATTCGCTGAGAGCACTCCACGCCTGGATGAGCAAGCAGGAAGGGGATTTTCAAAATTCCCAGAGAATTTAAAGGGTGGGTCTGATGGTTGGTCACCTTTGAAGGCAGGGCAGTAGAGTTCAAACTGATGACCAGAGTGGCTAGAACAAGCATTGTGGGACACTTCTGGAGGCTGATCAGAGCGCATTAACAGACCAGGGCGTACACACTGGCGCCATGGCGCTCCAGCAGGGGCGCATCAAACATTATTCCACTCGCTAAGGTGGAGTACCAACAGCGCTCTAGCTGCGGAGTCAGAGCGCTCTACGTGCCTTGCCAGTGTGGATGCATCGTGAGTTAGAGCGCACTGGGCTGCTTTAATGCGCTCTAACTCGCAAGTGTAGCCATGCCCTTAGTGAGCTTTCTAATCCACAGCCCTCTCTCCCTGCACACCTCTACAATGTCTTTCTTAAGGTGATGGTTATAGGCCATCTCCATGCTGTTCCCAAGTGGTCACAGACTCACAGGCCTGTTCTCTCTCAGCTCCCCACGATCCCTGAGAGGAACCCCTTCTGTGTGACAGCCTTTCTCGGAGGTTCAATCTCTCTCGGGGTTAAACCGTAGGCTCCTCCGCCTCCTGGAACTGCACCTTTCGGAGCCTCCAGCACGACCGTCTCTCGCTAATCCCCCTTTGTTTTACTGTTCCCCAGTCACTTACTGCAGGATGCTCTGTCCTCGGGGTGCAGTTTATCTCACCGCTGCCACCAGTTGTCACGGAGTCACCAAGGCGATGCTCTGGAACTACTCCCTATGAAGCCAGTCAGGACTCTGGGGGAGCATGCCTCCTCTTTCTGAGCATACTGTCTCCAAGGCAAGAAGCTTACACAGCTTCTACCTTCCTGGGTCTGACCTCGGAGCATTCAGCATCCCCTTCCACACCGTGTACTTCCCCACAGCAAGTCCGCCTGGCGGGGCTCCTGGGGAAGCCAGAGGGCCCTGCACCCCAATTCCACAGTCATCTGACTCTCAGCCAGCCGTTAAAACAGAAGGTTTGTTAGTCGACAGGAACACAGGGTAGAAAAGAACTTGTTAGCACAGAAGTCAGTGACTTTCAGCCAAGTCCATCTTGAGGGGGAGGGGAGCCCAGAGCCAGGGTTCTGGTTCTCCCCCTGAACCCCAAGCCAGCGGAGACTGACTCGTTTCCAGCTGCCTGGCTCCTGCCCTGCCCGTTGCTCCTCCTTCGGCCTTTGTCTCGCTTCCTGGGCCAAGAGTCACCTGGTCGCATACCCCTCCTGGGTCTTAGGTTATGAAGGGGCAGCCATAGCATCCATGTAGGCAGCTGGAGTAACCCCCACAAAAGTCATACACTTATTCCCACCACCTAAGATATTGGTGCAATACACAGGGAAACTGAGGCACACACACCATTCGTGCAAAACAGTAAGACTCCTATATAACATAACAAGGGAAAATCCCCACTTTGTCACACCCCATCACCCCAAAAATCGCAGGGAGGTCTGGCCCCTCCGTCACGCTGACCCCAATCCCCCACACATCACAGGGAGGTCTGGCCCCTCTCCTGCACTGACCCCAACACCCCACACCTTTCAGAGGGGTCTGGCCCCTTCCTAGCCCTGACCACATCACCCCACATATCTACATATAACGGGGGCGGGTCTGGTCCCTTCCCAAGAATGACCCCTTCACACTACACATCGCAAGGGGGTCTGGCCTCTCCCCCGAAATGACCCCATCACCACATACATCGCAGGGGGTTCAGGCACTTCCCCCAAACTGACCGCATCACCCCAGACACCGCGGGGGGGGAGGGGGCTGGCCCCTCCGACGCACAGAACCCATTACCCTCCACATAGCAGGGGTGTCTGGCCACTCCCCTGAACTTGCCCTATTCCTCTTGGGGACATCTGGCCCCTCCCATGCACTGACCCCATCACCCCATGCATGGCAGGGGGGCTGGTTCTTCCCCCGCAATAACCCCATCACCCCACACATCGCAGGGGGGGTCTGGCACTGCCCCTGCATTGATCCTATAACCCCACACATCGTAGGGGGTCTGGCCCCTCTACTGCACTGACCCCATCACCCCACACATCAGAGAGGGGTCTGACCCCTCCCCCCCACTGACCTCATTACCCCACACATCGCTGGGTATCTGGCCCCTCCTATGTATTGTTCCCATCTCCCCACTCATCACAGCGGGGTCTGGCCACTTCCCCTCATTGACTCCAACACCCCACACATTTCAGGGTTCTGGCCCCTCCCCCGCACTGACCCCATCACATCACCCATTGCAGAGGGGGCTTGTCTCCTAAGCCACACTGACCCCATCAGCCCACACATTAAAGGGGGTCTGTTGCCTCCCTCACACTGACCCCATCACTCCACACATCCCAGGGGGGTCTGAACCCTCCCATGCACTGACCCCATAATCCCACACATAGCAGGAGGGTCTGGCCCCTCCCCCACACTGACCCTATCTCCCCATACACCGAAGGGGGGGTCTGGCCCTCCCACACATTAACCCCATCACCCCACACATAGTGGGGGTTCTGGCCCCTCACCCACACTGACCCCTTCACCCCACATGTCGCAGGGGGGTCTGGCCCCACCACTGTACTGACCCCATCACTCCACACATCGTGTGTGGGGGGGGGGTTGGCCCCTCCACCGCATAGACTCCATCTCCCCACACATCGCAGGTGGGTCTGGCCTCTTCCCCGCAGTGAGCCCATTACCCCACACGTCTTGGGGGGGGGGGTCTGGCCCCTCCTCCGTACTGACCCCATCACCTATCATATCGCAGAGGGGAGGGGTCAGTGTGTTCCGTGGGTTTTCCATCTGGGGTGAGTGGTGCGGGACAGTGTGTTTGGTGTGTTCCTAGGGGGCAGGCGGGCCTCGGTTCGGGTGGGTTAGGGAGGCGGTGGTGGGCGTGGAGTGTGGCTGTGATGGGGGAGGGGCCGGCGGTGGGCGTGTCACCCCTGGTCGGGTAGAGCGATGGGTGGGGTTGGGGTTGGGGTCGGGGTCGGGTTCCCGCGGGGCCTGTGAGGCGGGGCCGCAGCTCGTCGGTGGGGCTGGGCGGGTGAATGTCGGGCTGGAAGACGCGGCTTGGCGGCGCTGCGTTGCGGTTGGATCTAGTGCCGGGCGCTGTGATTGGATGTGGCGGGCTCGTGCCGTCGGTTGCTAGGTTCCGTGCGCCACCCCTCCCCTAGGTACGTGCCCGCGCGGGGTCGCGCTCGCTCGGTGCTCTGCGCTCGGTTGGTGCTGGTGGTGGCCGGTTCCCGGTAGGGAGCGGCCTTCTCCGCGTCCGGCCGGGGCTGCCTCAGCGCCTGCCGCTCCGGTGAGGGTTCCGCGCGTGCCGGGCCTGAAACGAGGAGGTGGCTCGGGCATTTGTGGCGGGGCCTGCAGCTGCAGTGCGGGGCTGGGCCCGGTGGGCGGCTGGGGCTGTGTTCGCCCAAAGGGGCGGGTGTCGGGCTCCTGGTGGGATGGCTGGCACTGTGCTCGCCCTGTCCCGTGGGGAGCTGGCTGGGGCTGTGCTCGCCCCGGGGGTGAGGGGTTGCTCTTCCCCGTTTCGGATCTGGGCGGGGGTTGGGCCATGCACGCCTGGGGGATAGTGCTCTCTGCCTCCCTCGGCAATAGGGTGTTATCGTTAGTGCTGTGCCTTGTAGCGGGGGGATTAACACTGCTGCGAGGGCAGTCACCTGAACGAGAGGGCTCAGCATTGGTGTGTGTGGTGGGGGGAGGGATTCTATCCCTCTTCCCTGGCCATTAGCAGATACTCCTGCACATCCTGTCTCGTCTAAGGAAGGATTAGGGTTCTAAGTGTCTCCTACATTTCCATCCTTTCCCATCTTATGCCCCTGTGCTTAGGGGCCAGCCCACCTTGAGTTACCCTGCACATGCCCTCTTTTAGAGTCCAGGCATAAAACTCACCCCTTTCTATTTAGTTTGAAGTGCCTTGGGCGGCAGTTGGCTTGAGTGACTGGGCTCTGAGATCACCTCTGCATTTGGATACCCTGGAGATGGGCGTGGTAGACATACTTGATAGTCTTATTTGGTATTGAGCTGGAAGTCCCATCTTCCAGCTCTTGTGACAAAAGTTATCATGCTCTTGTGTGCAGTAGTTACCCCCTTGTCCTTCTAGTGGTGTGTTGTAGTTAGGATTGGAAGGATTCGTTTTTTATTGGTATATGTCCGCAAACATCGATTTCACCATGCATGCCAAAATATTTCCCTCAATAATAGGTGAAATGTACAGATCAGCAAATTAAGAAAAATGCTGCTTGAGAACTTATTAGAGTTTGATTTATGGATATTTGCTTTGTGTTTTGACATGTGATGTTAACAATTTGTGTTGTAACTGTTATAAAACTTTTTGAATCTCAGCATCTCCTGTCATTAAATAATTGTCTATCCCGCCATAATTTCCTGAAACTGTTAAAATTTAAATGAATAAAATTTGAAAAAAAATCTTAAAAACAAACAGGTGGGTTTGGGCTCCGGCCCGGCACCGCTTACCTAAAGCGGCGCTGGGGTGGCAGCGGTGTGCACTGGGGCCAGGGCAGACTCCCTGCATGCCTGCCCTGGCCCCATGCCGCGCCGCTCCAGGAAGTGCTGCGGCCCCTGGAGGGGGTGGGGGTGGAAGGACGCCACGTGTGCTGCTCTTGACGTACCTCCAGATACCTCTCTCGAAGCTCCCTTTGGCCGCTGTTCCCCGTTCCCGGCCAATGGGAGATGACGGAACGGTGCCTGGAGGCAAGGGCAATGCACGGAGCCCTCTGCCCCCATGGCCGCAGGGAAGTGGTGCCGGCCGTCTCTGAGAGCAGCACAGGGCCCACGGCGCCAAGGGGGGCAATCCTGCAGGCCGGATCCAAAGCCCTGAGGGGCCGGATCCACCCGCGAGTCGTAGTTTGCCCACCCTTGGCCTAGCACCTTCTGATGGTGCTTAGCACCACCCTTCCTGAATCACTTACCACTTTTGCCAGGTCCAGACATCCTAGTACTACTTGCAGACTGTATTTGCTTCTGGATTCTTTGCCTCAAACTTTAAAATGCACTTCCATTCTGAAAAGTGACTCTACAGAAGTCATTGTTCTGTGTTTGAGATAAAAAGGGTTCACTGGACAAGAAAATACTCTCCCCCCTCCCCCCCCCCACCCTGCAAACTCCCCTCCCCCAAGGCTCTGAGAATTAAGCCATGTTCTTTCCATGTTGTGCATGGCCAGTAATCAATGCTCTGCAGGCTGTATTAGACCCTTTGTCTTCATTGGGTTGGCACAGATGTGACTGATTGGATCTTAGTAAACAATTCTGTTGCACAAGAAGGAATAGATTCCAGTGTTCTTTTTAGGTGTGCTGGCTCATCAGAAGTAAAGAGTAATAAAACTAATCCCTAGTCAGCAAAGTCTAAATCTGTAGCCCCCTAAAGCTAATCTCTAGTCCCTTCAGATCAGCAGACCTGACTCCTGTGGTGTATGTGCATGGGGCAATTGTGGATCAGGGAGATGCTATTTCTGTGTAGTTGCTTTTCAGAATAGCACTGCTCTTTTGGAATTGGCCTAAGGCAGATAACAGAATTCTGTGTAAATGAGTAGTGATTATCCTGTGCTTTGCTGCCAATGACCTCTTGCTGGTGGTCCAGGGAGGAAGAATGTGGAGAAAGCCAGTGTTGCTACTGGGAAAAGTGTGACCCCTGGACAGTAGTGTGCTCCCTAGATACTGACTGAACAGTGTCCTTGACTTGTAGTGGTGAGAACTGGTGTTGACAGACATTTCTTCTTCTTAAAGCATGACAAAACCCCCTTTTCTATGGTAAATATCAAGCAGGAGGCCTTGCTTCTTCTCAGGTGCCCCCTGTATAATATGGCCTCCAGTGCCTCTTGCCCCAGGCATGCTGCTGCTCTTGTTTATATTTTTAGTTTATATATTGTGCTATTTTGAAAAAGTTTTAGTTTGATGTATTCCTTCCCACCTCCAGGGCCCTCAGTTTAATAGTCTCTAATTAACTGTAGGTTTCTTTGCAAAGTGTCTCCTGTTCCTTCTATTGCAAGCATCCTAAACTAGTTATTCGTTCTTCCTGATACTCGTCATTGCACTCTCCTATCCTAAATATAGGGTAGTGTGCCAGTCAAAAAAAAAAAAAAAAAAAGCCTGATCGTAAGATGAAGTGTTTGGAATGCCACTACTTAGAGAAATAATCAGCAAAGCCTAGCTTATTGGGTTTTGGATCTTACTTTTTCCTTGGTGCAGGAATTTGCCCTTAGATTCCTATGGGTGTCTGAACTACTCTTGCATTAGAGAAAAATTTTGTGCAGGAGCATGTCACTTTGAAAAATTCACATCTCTCCGATAATCAGTATATAAATGTTTGTAATACATTCTTGGTAACAGCACTGGACTCACTGTTGAGCTGGAAAAACATGTGCCAGTGGGCTGATATATCAGCATTTCTAGTCTAAATTTTGTGGTATAGATTTTGTATGGAATTTTTGAAACGTTGGCACTTAATTGGACCAAGAAATGGCCTGCTTTCATTGCAGATTAAGCCCATTACTACTTGTCCTACCATCAGTGGACGTGGAGAACAATTGATCTCTGTCCTCTTTGTAACACCCTTAACATATTTGAAGACTTATCTGGTCCCCTTCAGTCACATTTTCTTAAGACTAAACATGCCCAGTTTTTTAAACCTTTCCTCATAGGCCAAGTGTTTAAACCTTTTATCATTTTTTTTGCTCTCCTCTGGACTCTCTCCAGTTTGTCCACATCTTCTTAAAGTGTGGCATCCAGAATTGGACACAGTACTCCAGCTGAGGCCTCACCACTGCCAAGTAGAGTGGGATAATTGCCGCCAGCATCTTACATGATATTGCTGTTAATACACCCAAGAATATCAGCTGTTTTTGCAACTACATCATATTGTTGACCTAGCCAGTTACTCCCCGTTTTGTAGTTGAGCATTTGATTTTTCCTTCCAATGTGTAGAATTTTGCACTTGTCTTTATTTAATTTCATCTTGTTGATTTCAGACCAATTCTCTAATTTGTCAAGGTAATTTTGATGTCTAACGCTGTTCTCCAAAGTGCTTGCAACCCTTCCCAGTTTAGTATAATGCATGAATTTTATGAACATTATCCAAGGTATTAGTGAAAATATTGAACATTACTGGATCCAGGACTAACCCCTGCAGGACCCTGCTAGGGACATCCTCCCAGTCTGACAGCAAACCATTAATAACTACTATTTGACTATGGTCCTTCAGCCACTTTGCGCGCCCACCTTGTAGTAAGTTCATCTAGAGCACATTTCCTTAGTGTGCTTATGAGAATGTCATATGGCACTGTCAAAAGCTTTACTAAAATCAAGATGCATTATATCTACTGCTTCCCCTTCTGTCCGGTAGGCCAGAAACCTTTAAAAGAAGGAAATTAGGTTGGTTAGGCATTATTTGTTCTTGATAAATCCATGCTGGTTATACCTTATAACTCTGTTATCCTCCGGGTGCTTGCAAATTGATTAATGATTTGTTCCAGTATCTTTCCGTCATCTTTCTCTTGCTTCTGATGTGTTTAAAGAACCTCTTATTGCCTTTTATGTTCCTTGCTAGGTGTAACTTATTTTGTGCCTTAGCTTTTCTGGTTTTGTCCCTATATGCTTGTGCTATTCTTTTTGTATTCATCCGTAGATTTTATCCATGTTTCTAGTTCTTCTAGGATTCCTTTTTGATTTTCAGGTCATTAAATAGCTCCTGATGGATCCCTATTGGTCTCTTACTATTTTTCCTTTGCATTAGGATAGTTTGCTGTTGTGCCTTTAACAGTGTCTCTTTGAGAAACTGCCAGCTCTCCTGAACGACTTCACCCCTTAGATTTTCTTCCTATGGGACTTTACCTACCAGTTCTCTGGGTTTGTAAATTTGCTTTTTTTTGAAGTACATTGTCTTTATTCTACTCCTTTAGAATCATGACAAATCTATCATTCATGATTACTCATCCAAATTGTCTTACACCTTCAGAGTCACAACCCATTCCTCCAGAATCATGTCTAAAATGGCTGTACCCCTGGTTATTTCCCCCCATTTTCTGATTCCAATAAGTTCTTAATGTATTGGGAAACTTTGTTTTGCCATATTACTTTTTCAACAGATATCTGGGTAGTGAGTTCCCCCATTACTACCAGGTCTTGTTTCGTTATTTCTGTTCTGGAAATGCCTCATCCACCTCCTCTTCTTGATTTGGTTGTTTATAGTAGACCTACCATGACATCATCCCTGCTTTTTTCCCCTTTATCTTTACCCAGGGACTGTCAACTGTCTGCCTCTCATCTCGTTCTGGACCTCCG